TCTACCACTTGAGCCATAACACCACTACCAGTTTTCTAGTGGTTTACTGGAGATAAAAGTCTCATGGACTTTCCTGCCCAGAATGGCTTTGAACCAAGATTCTCAGATCTCAGCCTCCTGAGTAGCTAGGATTACAGGCGTGAGCCAGCAGTGCCTAGCTTATACAACGGAATTCTATGCTTCCATCAGAAAGAATGATACTGCCCCATTTATTTTATTTTTTTGTTTTGACATTTTTATTGGTTATTTTTAGTTTCTAGTGCATTCCCCAAATACTAATATTGCTTTTCATGTTCTCGTTGGTGTTTTGGTCTTTATGCAATGCTCTTAGATATATTCTAGGATGGAAGAACTCAAGTGCTTCATCATGTGAACTTTCAGTTGGCATACCTACATTCATACTGTCATTAATCCTAAAATACTTTATTCTTTTACTTTGTTTTATCCTTTGGTCTTAGACCTAAGTGTAACTTTTCTCGGACTGAATAAAAAATTCAAAGAATAAACTATTCCCCTCTGGAAATGCCATATTTCCATTATTGAGCTAGTACAAAAACTGACTGGAACTACTTCAGAAGTGGGAAAACATTTGCTCTAAGATCTTGCAAGAAATTATGACATGAAGATAGAAATTGTGGCTGATGAAACTGCTTGTGTAGTTGTAACAGAAAGGGTATGCGAAGAATAAAAGTTAAAATCTCAGAATGCTAAAAGTAAAATAACTAGCACATACTTGGAGGAGCATCTAAGTTGATCTTTAAAATAATTGTCACAGAGTCTTACAAAAACCACAAAATCTAGTTGGAGAATGCATTTAGAATTGTAGCAGTCCATTTTTTTCCAAAAGCCTATGGAAAGCTGTTTTAAGACTTACAGAGAAGCAAACATATCATCAAAGGAGAAAACTTGGAAGAAAATTGACACACATTAGGCCTTTGTTATTATAGGCTATGCGGTGTCTATTTTCATGCATCCTGTGACAATTTAATGTGTGAATATTATGTCTCTGATTTAAAAACTAATTTTTGTGAAATATTCTTTCCCCAAGAACCACAATCAATAAGTTATATGTACATCTTCACATAATCTAATGCTATATGGTTTTCTTATAAAATTTCACTAGAAATGATGGGTGGAAAAGATATGTGTACAGATAGCAACAAGACATGGGTTGTTTCCCCGAGCACTGAAAAGGTTTATATTATAAAAGAAGCCATTCTGAAACAAGAAAATAAGGCTAAGCACTATATAAAGAAACTGAAGTACTAATACATTTGGGTAGGAAATCTGCTTTTAATAGAAACTTCAATTTGATTTAGCTATATTTATCCTGTTCCAAATTATTATCTACAAGCAAAGTCATCCAGAAAATTAAGGGAGACATATGATAAACATAAAAATTAAAATTTTGACAGAATAAAATAAATAGCATTTAGTAATTACATTAAGCTTGTTTTCAGCGCCATAGTAAGCTATTAAAAGTAGAACAACTGTTCAAAGCAGGCTGCCAAATTCCTTCCAAATGACTTGTTTTGAAATGTTGACTAAATATCTCCAAACTGTATATCATCTTTAGTATAATTAAGCATTCTTCAGACCAAAGTCAGTTTTTTATTCTGAAATGTAAATTATATGTAACTTTTCACATTAGGACACAAAGAATTATACATTCATTTACATTAACATGATTTTTAAAAATTTTCTCCCACTTTTATAGAACTTTATAGTTGATACATTGCTTCCATTTATTTATTTGAAAAATTAACTTATAGGAAAATTTAACCTTGACAATCCTATTTTACATTTTAAGTGTTTGGTAGCTATTGACTTAGTAGATATTCATGCATTGACTATTTTCTTTTTTTATTGCAAAAATACCATACAGAGGGGTTACAATTACATGGGCAAGATAATGAGTACATTTCTTATCAAGCATTGTTGCCTCCTCCTTTGTTTTCCCTTCCCATCCCTTCTCATCTATTTTCTAAATAAAATATTTAATGATTGACTTTAGTGAGTGGAGGAGTGAGTGAATTTAGTTCAAGTTGGTTTAGACACTTTTAAAGATAATTCAAGAAATTGTCAAGCCTGAGCTTCCATCTCAATCCTCTTATTGTTTAGGGAGACCATCACAACATGAACACAGGCATGTATGCAAGTGGTTTATTGGCATATGCTACAAAACAGGATATATTCAATGACATGCCCTATGTTCAATGTGTTGCTTTTCTGCAGTCATGATAGTTGCAATGAATATGGTGCATTAACCAAAAATTTCTTCCATCCCTATGCATGCATTTGTAATGTACTGCCTTTGGTGATTTGTGTTGCTGCTTTTTACTGAAAACCAGCTGAAACCTATCCCATAAGCATTATACTCAAGAAAAATGAGTGTTCTATTCTGAATGTGTACATGTGAATACACATATGTCTATATAGACACACACATTTAAACATATATGAATTAGTTATGTAGCAAATGTTAATATACATAAAAATATATACATACTACATACTTAACACTATGTGTATGTATATCTACATATTATATAGCTACATGTCTATCATCTATGTGTCTATCTATCCATCATCTAGCTACCTTTATCTCCAAACTTGACAGTTGCTCTTGTTTGTTTCTCCCCTCCATATCAGCTTCCTTGTTTATATAACCATGAACATTGCAATAATGATTTATCCTCATTGTCCTACTTCAAAACAAATGAATGAGATAAGAGGCTGGAGCCCATGTCACTTAATAGACAAGGACAACATTGTACCAAAGTTCAGTTCAGAAATGTGATACAGGTTAGTTCTGCTTATTTATTTTAATCCTTGTTATCCTTGGCTGTTCTGCCCCTGTCCAACTGCCCCTGTGAAAACAAGATCATTTCATGTATTTGCACTGTTCCCCACATTGATGTGTTTTCTGAACCTTTACACTGTGCCCAATGAGACAGGAATTTGATTTTCAACGGATTGTTTTTCATTGCTATTCAAAAAATACTCTCGAGCCCTTTGCTTATTGGTTCGCATAGCTCTTCCCAGAGGACAGTGCTCCCTGTAGTCTCTGCAGGGGAAGTTCTGCCTTCTCCAGTTGCCACGAGGCATGCCACCTGCAATTCATCTTCCTTTTTAAGCTCCTGCCATTTTGTCATGCCGTCCTATTTTGTGACTTGCCATGGTACTCTTTCCAAGCACTTCCTTAATTTATGTGAAAAGCTCACATCTACCTCACTGGCTTCCCCTTTACCACACATTGCTTCACCAAGAAAATTTAATCCCCTCTTGGGTGACTTCCCCAATATCTTACTTTCCTAATTCTTTGGCTCTCACATTTCAGTGATCCTTCAAGACTGTATTTTATATTACTATCTGTAATCTACTCTTTGCCTCACATTTCCTTAATATTCTCTATTTCTTATTACACTTACATTTGATCTTATTTTGTTACCAGATAACTTCCAACATGTGTCTCAGTATTTCTCAGATCATAGCTGGTTTCATAGTTCACACTGAAGCCTACACTAAATAAAACAGTGGCCCCCAAGACTGTATCAGCAGCCCTTGGAATCTATAAGAAATATAATTTCCTTGGACTCTTCCTTAGATCATTTGGAATCAGAAACTCATGATGTAGGCCAGCAAACTATCTACACAGTCCAGCTAGATGATTCTCATGTGCTCTTAATTCAAGAAATACTAATATAGAGGATTAATTCAACTGTTCCCTTCCTTGCACTTTTAATGTCTTTGGATTTGATGAATACTCAAACATGGACTTATCTTTATTTTGGCTTTCCCATGTAGGATATTTTAACACTGTAACCAAGACTTCCAGCTTTACCTGCCATACCCAACATAGGTATACACACCACCTCCAATCCAAATGTTTTCTATAGTTCCTTGTCATGCCAATTTGAATACTGTAAAATCAGGAATGATGCTTCCAAAGATGTCTTACTTATCACCATCTTCTGTGAAAGAGGCTGAGAGACGTTAACTCTCATACACACAGGACAAGTTTAAACTGAAGTCTAGCTGACTATGGAGCCCATGCTTTTCCTATATTGCTGATGAATTATATAGGACAACACATACATCAATATGCCTTGTCACACTATTAGAAGTACCACAATTTTTTTACCATGCAAATTGCGTAAAAATCTATTATCATATATTCTAATAGCATATTAATTTTATCATAGGATTTCTTTGAGCTTTTACTACACTGCCATGTATTTTGGCCCCCCTCCCAACAAAGCATAGATATGGGATGGTCCTACTTCAAATTCTTTGACTAGTGAATTATTTGCTTGTAGATTATCTATGTTATTTATACCTTGTAGGGGTAGTATTCCTAGAGCCGCTTGTTGAAAGTGGGGTTTATTTTTTAATTGCTGCCCTCCCTTAGCTTACCTATTTTCTCTGCCTTTATCCTCTTTGCTATTTTGCTACTTTGTTGGAACTTGAATGTGCACAGCTCATTATCCTCCCAGGTGCTATTTTTCCCTGTCTTTTGAGATATCTTCTCTTTTTCTTTTGCCTCAGAGTTATACTTAGAGGAACTACATTTAGCAAGTAATTTTACATGCCTGGCATTATAAATGTGATTTATTTTTATATACTCTACCTAATGTAAATCTCATAGCTTCCTGGTGACGCTGAGTGATCTGGGTTGATTGGCTTTCTTGCTTATTCCATGCTGGAAACTAGACTCCTAACTGCAATGTAGTGAGGGCTTCCACAGACACATCTGTACACTCAATTTTATTTTATAAACAATAGAATTTTACATTGAAAATGACTGAGTTACGGAATGAGAGAACATGCACAGAGTTAAGTACCTAACTCATATGTAATGGCAACTCCTTAACTATAAAAGCAGTTGGGTACTAATTTCAATTAGTTTCCACTAGAAATTAATGAAACCAACAAGGAATTTTGTTTAATAGGTATTCTGTCCTGTCCAGCACATTACCTCTTTTTCTTTCATTGTGCAGGTTCTGCTGATTTTCTTCTTTGTGTTCCGTGCTCTTCTTGCCCTGCCTTGGTCTACTCTGGTATGTTGGCTCAGGGCAATTAATATCAATGTCAGGTAATTGTGGGTACCACATACGACTGCTCAAGGTTAAAAAAATTAAATATGTTATTCGTGACATAAGGAGAAAATGTTTTGAGCCAAGTACCCTGAATTACATTTCTTTTCATATAGTTTCTAGGTCTCATGTCCCCATTGGACCTCTCTTCACCAGGATGATATGGTAGGATGGTGACACCCCTTTTCTTCAGCATGACAAACAAGTTCTCAATAGATATGAAGCCCCTACTGTGCAGGACCATGAGGCCACTTACTATTCTTGAAGTTATAGAATCTCATGAGAATTCAGCACTATCTTCTCACCATATATCACAGAGAAAAGCAAGCATGTTCAGTCTGTAATGAGTACTCCCAGAATCAGAGTAACACACTTAGAAAGTGTTTTAGAACTGTCTATTCCTCTTTTCTCTCAGTACCCCTATCTGGACTCATGTGAACCCCTTGAGTATTTGAGAGTTCACTTTCTCCCATGTCTGCTCATTCAATTCTGTTCTACTCTAGACATTAATTTTCCCAATAATTCTATCTGAGCATGCCACCTAAAGAAATACTTTCTTTAATGCACCATTATGTACCTATCAGAATAGTACGTTCATTGTCATATGGTTTTTAATAAAACATGAGAAATGTTTTACTAAATAGCATGGACATTTTTTCCCATAAAATCTAGAAAGCACCTACCATGAAAATAATCCAGTGACTAAACAAAAGAGGATTAATTTAAAAACTGTAGTAATCTATACAATGGAAAACTGTGAGTCCACTAAGAAGCATGAGATATAGTAAAACATTCTGATATTCTGAAATTAATAGGCAGAAACTTCCATATATTTACAAAACAGCAATTATCAAGTCTGAATACTAAGTATAACATTGTTACATATAATGCATAGACAGAAACTCAGTCATACATTTATATATACAGAATACTCTCTGAATGGTTACAAATACTCTGAATGGTTACAAAGAAAAATGGTACTGGAGTCCTGTATGTTGTGCTAATAGCATCTTAATTGGTTAAGTTGAAAAACCTGTTTAAAATCTATTACTGTATTTAAAATGGTTTTGAAATATTTACTCTGTTTTTTCTCCAAAATCTGAAAACTTAAGGATTCTCTTTGTCATAGAGATCTATAACCTCTTAAGTTCATAGACTTTATCTTACACCTGATGATTCTACCGGCAGAGATACACAAATATCAAATGTTTCTCTGCTGTAGTTTTCTAAATGTTCTTTGCATGTCAAGGAGCATACTGTTCTTCAGGCCAAGAGCTTTAACTGCATCCATTGTTCATGTGATTTATATTTAACAAAGGCCTACAGTGGGTTTGGAAATTTTCTGGAGAAAAACATGTGACTGTTACTGTCACTAACACAACATAGTAACTACTGTGGTTCTTCTCATAATGGAACGTATTAAATTGTGGAGAGGATATATAGTAAAAATTATTTAGATAAAATATTGATGGTTAATGTTAGTGAGTCATTAGAAAGGAGATAAGTACATGCAACAGAAAATTCTAACTTGCCTGGTAATCAGGGGTCCAGAGAGTAATATTTAAGGCTATAACTTAAAGTTGAGGAGTTCATCAGCTAAAGGAGTTAGCTGGCATTGGTTGGGGTAGAGAACACATTCCACATAAGGAGAAATTGTCTGCAAAAAATGGGACTTTTTCTTCACATTCTCTCTCCTTTCCATCCTTTTCTCTTATATTAAATAAATATTTATTGAGCAAATAGCCATATGCTGAAAAGATATTGATAGTATTCTCCCAAAATGATTGTGACCTAACTTGTGATTCACAAAGATAAAATGTTATTATGGTAAAAATGTTTTCCTTTGTGATCCCAATCTTAATAAGATTTTTGTAGATACCAGAAACTGATGCACTGTAAGAAAAACATGAGTACTATAAGTAATATTATAAGATAAAAACTCATGAAAAATACGCACTTTGATATACTAAGTGGACATATTTTTCAATTCAATTTCTCTTGTTCTCTGTTTCTCCTCAACAGGTCTTTGAAACATACAGAAGAAGTTTCAAGTGGTCCTTAAGTTATTGCAGTTAATCAAATCCCCATGTATAATCCTAATCTATTTAGTATGTGTACTCATTAGATGATTATGTAGATGGTTATTTTTATAATGTTAGTAATAAACAAGTGCTGTAATAGCCAGTGAGATCCCCCATGTATAATCAGAGGACACTGACATTGGCAAAGGAACCTAGGGTGGTAATGATGCCTGCTACTTTTTGTCATAACATCCTAGGTTGATGTTACTTTATACATAGTTATTAATATTTGATATATTAAATATTGCCTGATTCAAATAACTTTGCTGAAAAATTTTCTGTATTTTAACTTGTCTAGGGTTTTCTACTTCTATTTTTATAATATTTTCTCATTTTTTATTACAAAACACACTTACCCATATGCCAACATGTGCCATTTAATGCTCAGAGGGACTTAGCTGTATGCAATCATCACCTGCCATCCATGAAGTATGCAGCTGTGAGAAATTTATTTCCCACCTTGACAGTAGTCCCTTTTCTATTAGAAAAACTGATTGATATGTTAGCTCAATAAAGCTAAGCAATAGGGAATGAAATGCATGCCCCAGAAACATTTAATACAAGTTGTTTGATTACTTATGCAATTGTCAAGCCCAATTAAGATTATCCATTTTAAATTTGATGTGTACTAGCTTTTGGAATGTGCTATGCATATGTTAAGTGACTGGATCTTAGTAAATCAACCACCTATATCTATTGTCTCTTTCATCTTATTTGTCTTAATCTAAATCTGGGAGTGTTTTGGACCCTTAAGGAATTAATATTAAATTATAAATTTACCTGTATAGCTATAAATGAAACAAACATTAAAGGTCAAACCATGGATAATAATTAAACAAATAAGGTTTTATGAATTGTCATATTCCCAAATATAAATAATATATAATATTATTAATAATACAATAAAATCTTATATTACCATTTCCTTGTGACTAAAAACTCATGGGACTGATTTAAGTTACTGCTTTTTTATAGACTGAAATAAATTAAAGGCATATGTGTTACTTACTTTCCATCACTGTGGCAAAATGTGTGAGCAAATAAACTGAAGGAGGGAAGATTTTTTTTCGGCTGCAGTTTCAGAGGTTTCACCTTGTGGCTAGCTTCTTTGTAATGGGTCTGTGACAACTGTCATGGCTGAGGGATCAGGTGACAAAGAAGACTGTTTACCTACTTCATAGTAGCTTGGCATCAGAGAGAAAAAGAGGTTCTGGTCAAGATCAACCATTCAAAGGCATAATCTCAATAAGCCCCATCTCCTGTAGTCAGAACCCACCTTCCACCAACCCTGCATAGTCCATTGAGTTATGCCTCCAGCAATGAGTTTGTCTATGATTAAGTCAATGTTGTCCCACTGAATCCCCAACATGGCATTAAAGATGAAGTTTCCAGTGTTGAGGGGGAGAGGAATTCATATCCAAACACAACAAATTAGAGAACAGTACACTGTTGAGTAGCTTGGTAAAAAGGCAAGAAAATAAATTTATGGAATCTGAATATTCCTTATTTTAGGCCCTGTGCTGGTGGTTCACACTTGTAATCATAGCTACTCAGGAAGCTGAGATCTGAGGATCACAGCTGAAATCCAGCCTGAGCAGGAAAACCCACGGGACTCTTATCTCCAACTAACTACCAAAAAAAAAAAAAAAAGAGCCAGAAGTGGAACAGTGGCTTATGTGGAAGAGCACTAGCTTTGAGCATAAAAACTTAACAGTACTTAGGTCCTGAGTTCAAAGACAAACAAACAAAAAGGAATATTCTTTAGAGGAGGGAGAGACAGTGGGGCAGGGAGCGGGGAAGATGGAAGGAACAGGAAGGGGAAACAAAGGAGGAGGCAACAATACTTGATAAGAAATGTACTCATTACCTTGCCCATGTAATTGTAACTCTTCTGTACAGTATTTTCACAATAAAAAGGTAAAGAAAAAATAAAATCCTTACCATAAAGAAAATCACTTCATAAATATTCAATAATTCATTTATTTATTTTTATCTTTTGGGTCCGGTTGTGGGGCCTGAACTCTGGGCCTGGGCGCTGTCCCTCAGCTCTTCAGCTCAAGGCTAGCACTCTACCACTTGAGCTACAGCGCCACTTCCGGCTTTTTTCATTTTGCTTATGTAGTGCTGAGGAATCGAACCCAGGGCCTCGAGCATGCAAGGCAAGCGCTCTACCACTGAACCACCTTCCCAGCCCCCATTTTTTTATTTTTAAAAAAGTTTTTTATTGTGAAAATACTATACAGAGGGGTTACAGTTACATGAGCAAGGTAATGAGTATTTCTTATCAAGCATTGTTGCCTCCTCCTTTGTTTTTCCCGTACCATCCCTTCCCTCCCACCTCCTCAACTACACTCCCCTGCCTAAATTGTAAAGTTTGTTTTTCAACATAGTGTATTCTGCATCTCATGGCTGAATGGGGTCAACCTGTATCCCTATTTAAACATTGTGTTTTTTCCCTTCCCTTCCCCAAATTATACCAATATCAAATACAGTGAAAACAAGGGTTATACCATGGGGGAGGAACATACAAAGCAACAAAAAAAAAATCACATGGTACCTTATAAATACATTAAAAACAACAGCAAGAAAGAAAAAAAACACTTGTGTCCCTATATTGGGGTTCATTTTGCTTAACATCATCTTATATGACCTTTTCTGCTTGTCTCAGACATATACTAGTTATTGAAAATAAGGGATACCATGGGACCTATGTTTCTTTGGGCCTGGCTTACTTCACTTAATATAATGTTTCCCAAGTCTTTCCATTTCCTAACAAATGGGGCTATGTCATTCTTTCTGATGGAGGCATAGAATTCTAGGTTTTTCCTACTAGAAATTTTCTTTCTTTAAGACATTTCTTTAACACATTATCCCTTTATCTGAACCACATTTTCTTCCAACCATTACTTGGTCAGATTTGGTTCTCTTCTTGCTCATTGACCTTTACCTAGAGACACTCAACTAAGTACCCCAAGAGTAGACCCTAAGAGTCAGGTCCATCAAGATATCTGAATTTACGTCAGAATGTGTACTGTCAAAGATAAATAAAGCCAGACAATTATTGAAATGTTAAGGACATATTTTTAAGCAGAAGCCAACTATTGCAATAGGGAAGGGTCTGTACAGATGTGACCGCACATTTTAAAAGGAATGTAAGTATAGAAAAGGAGAATGGTGGAGCGTGCGCAGACCAGGGTTATGGAAATTTACAAAAAGCAGGTAAAGGAAAGGGGGTCCGTTGCCTGTGAGGCTCATCTGGGCTTGCTCGTTGGTGTGTAAGTTTCTGTCCTCCCACAAAGACTGAAAGACAGAGATCCTATCTAAGATGGAAGTGGGAACAAAAGAAGTTCCTTTGGCAGTCTTCTGCTTTCTCAGGCAGGAGCTTTGGAGTTGTCATCCCATCTACACAGCTGTGAGAAACTAAGTATTTGTTCATGTCTTTTTTTTTTAGTCTAGCAGAACTGAATTTTTTATCGTCAACTCAGAGTGTTTACCCTCTCTCCGGGACAGACTAGGATTCAGTTAGAATCTATATAGCTGTGTGTGATAGAACTTTCAATTTAAGCTCAATTTTTTTAACATGGAGGGTATTTCTGACTTGATTCTAATGAATAGCCCAAGGTGACACTCATTGTTAAAAACAGTGACTAATGATTTTCAGCAGATTAGGTCAGTCTAAGTATTGTGTAGAATTGGTAGAAGACACAAGAAATAAGCAAGTGTGTATGTGTATGAAAATAAGGGAAACAATTAGAAGGCTGCTTCAGAAACTGAGCTAAAATGGTAAAGTTCTATTTAAGTTTATCTAAGCAAAAGATGGTTTAGATGTATGTGTAATTGGGATATTTCAGAGCAGCAGAACAGATAGAACCAACACTTGTGTGCTCTTGTGGGATGATCACACACAGAATGTGAGGGTAAATGCAAGATCCACTGTGCCTCCTTGTAAGGCTTGCCAAAGGGAGACCACCATGTGGTTCAGGCAGAAGAGAGTTTATTGGGACAACCAAACTGCCAGATGTAGGTGCTGCAGAGCAGAAAGCTAATGACAGAGAAATTATATAGGGAAAGGGGAGGGAGAGGTGTGGCTACAGAGGATGCAGAAGTGACCACAGAAGATGAGGAGGTGACCTCAGAGTATGGGGTCCTTTTGTTGACTCACAGTCAAGTGATTGGCAGTTACAGGTGATTACTGGTTTAGGGAAGGTGATTTCTGGTAAGGCTACTTGCTATCCTTCATGAAGAGGATTGGGGGTAGAGGTGCTGTTCTCTCGGGCAGACCTAATAACTCCAAGGTCACAGCTTGGGCCCAGGATTGCAGATTGGACACCAAAGGAAGCTAAAGTTTTCTCCTCGACCTAGAAGAGATAGACATTGAAGAGATGATATGACTTTAGTAGAAGAAGTGGCTCATTGCTGCAATCCCAGTTACTCAGGGATTCGATGTCAACATGATCAGAAAGTAAGCCGAGACTCCTTCTCCATCAGTTGAGCAGGTATGGTGATGTGTAGCTTGACCCCAGCTATGTAGAAGGCATAGGTAGGAAGAGCATGATCTGAGTCGGATCCTCAACCAAAACTCATGACCTTATCTAGAAAATGACCAAAGCAGAAAAATAAAAGGTGGGAGGGGATGGAATTGTCTAGGAACATGGTTTAAATGATAAAGCACCAATGTAGAAAGTACAGAAGCTTGAGCTCCAGTATTGCTGAAACAAAACATAAAGAAAAAGTGTGGATATGTCTTCCACTGAACTCTGAGAACAGCCAAGCTCCCTCTCTGCTTCCTTTAATGGAAAGCATTGCTTATGTGTCTAACACATTCATCTCTGGGGACCCAGCAGTGGAAGGACACACTCAGGCCTTGCTTCAAGGAGCCAGGTGCTCAGTGTATGTTTAACATTCACAAGAAGTTACTTATAAGAGATCCTTGGCTGGGAAGGTGGCTCAGTGGTAGAGCACTTGCCTTGCATGCATGAGGCCCTGGGTTTGATTCCTCAG